TGATATAGAGTAATTGTTGAAGGAGGAGTAATAAAATTTACACCATCCAAGGGCTAAAACAATAACCCTATAAAAAAAACCTCAAATGGGAGAAGTGTGTTGTTGAAAATCCGATTGTTCCTTTCCAACAAAATGCTCCAGATGAAGGCAGAAACAAACTGTTCCCAAAGAAGGTCCTTTTCCTTCCTAAAGGGGTGATCGGTCAGGAGAGAATTTAGGAAGATGGAGGGAGTGTTGTGCTGTACAGTGTGCCAGCCAAAGGTCCCAAGTATTCTGTTCCAAAAGTTGTGAGCGAATTCACAACATATAAAGAGGTGACCTGGTGTTTCAGCATCTTTGTAGCATAGGTGACAACAATTTGGAGAGAGGGCTAGGTGTGGCAATCTTCTTTGCATCTTGTCAAGTGTGTTGATAGCTCCATGGCTAAGCTCCCAACAGAAAATTTTGATCTTCTTGGGGTATTTCCCTTTCCATATTTTGTTGTAGAGAGTCTGTTGGTTTTCTGGGGAGGTTAGAAAGGTGAAAATGGATTTTGTGGTGAAAGCCTTAGATGAGTCAAGGGGCCAAATCCATTTGTCCATTGGTGGGAAAGGTATCAGCTTGTTAAGCTTGGATGACAGGAGCGTCCATTCTTCAAATTCAGAGTCTTTGAGGGGTCTACGGAAGCAATGATCCCAAGAGTTGGTGTCCTTGGATCAAAGGTCAGCTATTTTGGCATCTTTGTCCATAGAGATGGCAATTAGGCTGGGATAGAGAGATGCCAATGATTCTGTTTCAAGCCATTTGTCTTTCCAGAAGCTGACCACACTGTTTTCTCTTGCTTGGCAGATCGCATTGACAATCCTTAAAGTTGTTCTCCTTCTTACCAAGAAACATAGGATTGCATTAATTGCATGAAGCCATTAAACTTTAGTTTCCTTGTATACTGACGCCAAACACTAAGTAAGCTGAATTGAGTTTGGGAAGACAAGAACTTGATTAAAAAACCTGAGACAGCTCTATCCAAAGAGCATGAGAAAAAGGGGCAACCCAAAAACTAATTTATTAGCTGTCTCATCACTAACATTGCATACAGAGCACCGGTTTGTGGAAAGGGCTATATTGGATTTCTTTTATGTAATCATTTAAAGGTGCTAGGAGATTCCAAATTCCAGACCTGGTGATCCAACCTGTTTGATGGTTTAAAGGAACCAATTGCTCGGATAAGATTGGAGCATTCTAATATTCATACTCATTTAAAGGCCTTCTAAACAAAAATCCCAGCAGTCTAAATCCTTATTCCAAACTAATGATGTGTGGAAGTCATATGCATATGTAAAAGTTCCTATAAATTAATTTGGTATTTCTTACTCCAGTGCAACATAATGTCTCCACCGTCTTTTCGAATTTTATTCCCATGAATGCATCTGTTGTTTATTCTAATTCTGATGTTGAATTATTTATTTATCAGTGGATTCTTCCTATATTTGCTGTCTGCTAACTCGTGTTCTCTTCTTAGGTGGTCTGTACATCCATGAAAAGTAAGGAACTAAGAATCTTTGACATTGGTTATATTTCTTCTAAACCAGTCGAAGTAAGTTCTTATTTCACCTTTATTATGGATGCTTCTTAACATAGAAAATACTCATGGGTTTCAATGAATTCTTGGATTCTTATAGCCTTCAATTCCATTGTATAATTGCCAAATCCTCAAGTTTCTCATTTTACAACCGTCTAGCTTTCCATTTTACTAAAAGTGCCAAGTACAAATAATGCAATTTACTTCATGTAAAATAATGTTTTGTTTAATGATCTGTATCTTGTCTATCAGAGACATAACACTTCAAAATGGAGGAACTTGCTTGTGCGAATAGAAAGGTTTCTGGGTGTGAAATAGGGAAACATTGTCCATCYTTATGTTTATGCCCTAGTTTTTTGGAAAATGGCATATCGTTGTAATCATGTTTATGCTTTTAATAAATTAATCGATATTGGTTGTATTCACCATACGATCTTTTTTTTTTCTTTTCACTGTTGAAAATGAATGATAATTTTATTCATTATTCTTGTAGGTGTTGAGGGCAAGACAAAGCATCAACAATTTAGGGACTGATAATCATAAAGGTTTATCTGACATAGCATTTATTTCAGATAATTCAAGGTTGGTCAAACAACTCATTACATTTAATTTGTTAGATCTGCATGGACAATAGGTATACAACTTTTTTTTTTTTGGCAACCGTCTGACCCTACAACATTTGATGTCCAGAAACACATATGAATTACTAATTTCTAAAGTAGGTGGCTATCATGGGGTTTGAATCCATTCCCTCTTAATTTACCCTAGTCCCTTTGGACCAATGAGCCACCCATGATGGTTCAATAGTGTTAGAGTATATATTAGTATATTTTATATTCTTGTATTAATATTAATTTGTCTTTTACGTTCTCCGTATAGGATTAGGTCAACCTTGTATATTTGTCTATATATATAGACTTTAATAATGAGAATACATTGATATTGGATTCTCTCCAACCTTAGTCTCTACATGGTATCAGAGCTCTAGGTTTTGTGCTCATTAGGGTTTTGTGCCCATTAGGGTTTTGATGCACATTAGGGTTTTGTGCCCATTAGGGTTTTGTCCCTTAGGGTTTTTGTTCATTGCTATCCAACACTCACCAGCGCCGCCGCCGCCGCCGCCGACCACCGCCGCTGCCGCCGCCGTTTGCTGATTTGCCAGTTATTTTTCCGATTGCTATTCTTGGGTTTCGTCTCGCCGTCCTTCGCACCTTCGTCGCGGTGCGCTTTCGTGACCGCCAATCGCCTTTACCCCTATGGTTGTCATGGGGAAGCACTTGGGGTTTCTGGTTTCAGAAAACACCTAATCAGATTTGGTTCCAACCGTTTGATTCATCTATTTTGTTTGGTTCGGGTGGTTTGGTCTGGTTCTGTCGTTTTGTTCAAATAAGTTCGCTTGTTTGTTATGGTTGAGAAGAAATCAATCGTAACTTCTGAGGTGATCCCAATGATATCAAAAATCACAGAACACAAGTTGAATGAAGCACGAATAGATTATTTGTCTAACAAGTTGGGCATGATTAACATATATGCACCAACTTGAGGGGGAGTGTTAGAGTATATATTAGTGTATTTTATATTCTTGTATTAATATTAATTTGTCCTTTACCTTCTCCGTATAGGATTAGGTCAATCTTGTATATTTGTCTATATATATAGACTTTAATAATGAGAATACATTGACATTGGATTCTCTCCAACCTTAGTCTCTACAAATAGGTATACAACTATTATAATCTATAATTTTGGAAACAAACAATTTAATAAGAAGATTGATTCATATTTATTTCTATTCATATTGGGTTACTCTTTCCCTTTTCGAATTTTAGGATCAACTATGAACAGTATAAAAAACTAAGTTTTCATTAAGACAGATGAATGAATACAAAGAAATAAGTTTACTACAAAAGTAGCCTATACAAAGAAACCAAATTTGAGATTACATAAGGGGGGCTTCAATTGTTGAGAATAAGAGACCTAGATAGTTACAAAACTTTAGAAACAAACGTTCAAAAGGGACATCAAACCTAGTGATAGACCACACTTCCTCTAAAGACTCTCAACTCCTCTGAAAACTCCTTAGAGACAAAACAGAGCATTTTTAATCATAGACCTAGTAGATGATGGCTAATTTGGATCATACCAAATGAAGCAGAGATTGGCAATAGCTGATTCGAATGATGATAAATGGAGTAGAGAAAGTAAATTATGAGTAGGTCGTTGATGGAGTGAGGAAGAGAAACAACGCAATTGGTCAATTTTTATACCTAAAGAGGCTTTATTTTTTTCTATTTGATTCAACCATATCGGTTTCATACAAATAGCCACTAATGTAAAAAGTACATGAGGGGTACAAGAGAAAAAAAGGTAATAAAACAACTTTACATATTACAGAAAAGGAATGTGCTAAAGACTAAAAAATGGGCCTAAATTATTTGTTGGAATAGATATATGGATTGACCTTTACTTAAATTTGGGGCCTCCAGAAACTTGATTTCTGGTCTTCTTTCAGTGGACATCTCTGATGGACCAATCAAGTTGAAAATTTGAAGTGTTCAAACAAAAGCCTTCAATATGGCAGAGTTTTTCCTAATGGAATATCAAATACATGTGTCAGTGACATTGTGGTATATTATTGGTTATCGATAATGCTAACTGTTGATTTCCTCTAAACACCAAAACTTTTTTATGTTTTTACACTTAAGATAAGTCATCACTATTTTTATTTTTAGAAAAAAATGATGATGATGTTCTTGTATTACATGAACATTTGGCAGGTTACTTGCGTCTGATACATGTGGTGGAATCAATATGTGGGACAGAAGAATTGGAACACTTCCATGTCTTGAGCTTACCAGTAATTCGTGCAGCACCCTTAACAGAATCCAGCTGAATGTTGAAAATCAGGTTCTTGATGTTGGACGTACATGTACATGACTTTGTTCCTCATGAATCATGTTCTTTCATTTTCTGCATTACATTTCTCACAGTTTTGAGAACTTTGGTTCCATCTTTTGAAACATGGATATCTTGGTATAGATTATCTTTGGTTCTGGTAAGCATGGAATTATCTATATTTGGGATCTTCGTGGAGGGAGAACATCTGGTGCCTTTCAAAATCATAAAGAGGTAACAGAACTAATAGATCTTACAAAAGGAAGAAACGGTAATAGAACTAATAATGTTGATGCCATTGATGAAAGGGTTAAGTCGATACATTTTTCCTTTTTTTTTTGCTAGGAAGAAAATCTCATTTGTTCTAAGGTTGTTTTCATTTTGTTCCCCTCATTTTGATTTAGTCAGAGCAATTCTCACACTTTTTTTGTCATATTTAACCAAATCTTTCAAAAAAAAAAAAAATTTTTTTTGATAATGAGTTGGTGGATTTTAGATTTCATTTTCTGTTGAAAATGAATTCATCCTATTCGTCAATAATATTGCTGTACATATAGGAGTTTTAGATGATGCGTGTTACGGATGAATAAACTACCACTCAACTCAAAATCTTAAGATTTAATTCATTTATAAGATATCTAACACTCCCCCTCACTTGTGGGCTTGAATAATTTCACAAAGCCCAACAAGTGGAAATCATTATAAATGGGGAAGAAACAACAATGCAGGGGTTTGAACAAATGACCTCTCGCTCTGATATCATGTTAAGGATGAATAAACTACCACTCAACCCAAAAACTTAAGCTGATGGGTTAAGTAAATTTAAATCATTTATAGGATATCTAACGATGTGAAATCACTTATTGTTGTCAAATAGGATAAATATTCATTTTGTTCCCGGGGCCCTTAGGCTGTTCTTCTCCACCCTTTTTGGTTCATGTACTATTGTTCTGTTTCTTATAAAAAAAATAATTATATAACTTTATGAGTTAGCACGCTTTTTCTCTTGCAAACTAGTTGACTACATGTTACATGTGGGGCTGGATGCCGTAGTTGTCCATATATATGTTGCACATCCAAAAGGCAATCAGAGTGCAATTTTTGTAAGCAGAAACGTTATTCTTGTTTCTACTTTGCTTTTAAATGACCATGCAGGATGAATAAATCTGCCTAAAGCGGCTTATACCTATGCAATTAAGTTATGGTTCCTTGGCTAAACCTTTTTCTCTATATGTTCCTTTCTATTTTTCTCTCTTACGTGCTGAAAAAAAAGTTTGTTGCATCGGATGACTATCACTCTTAGATGCCAATAATAATAGTAATATATTCTGAGTAGAAGACCTGGGTCAACAATTTAGTTGCCCGTTGACCTGTTGGTCAGATGGTTGATCAATTTTGCTAATTCTGGCTAAGGTTACATAGAAATTTAACACTCATCATAACCTGCCAATGACAAGTTTCGGCATAATGTTATTTTTATTTCTGTAGTTGTTTGTCTTCAGTAGATTCTATATTGAAGTATCAGATTATTGCATTTTGCATGCATTTATTGAAGCATTTTCACGCAGGTGTGCCATCCTCCTCTAAAATCATTGAAGTTAGCCTCAATGATAGAGAAAATTGGGACTCTGAAGGTACTGAGAATATTTTACTATCATATATTCCTGTTGGCTGTTGCTGGTCTCCAGCAATGAGATTGTTGAAAATGAATTTCCTTACATTTTGATAGTCAGAGGAGCCTCCAACTTATTACATGATTTAATTCTGTGTTTTCTACTATATTACATCATTTTCCCAATAGAAGTTTCATTTAAGAAATAGAAAGTAAACCTCTTTCCCTGCTTGTTTGGGGGTGTTTCTTAAGAAGTCTTCTATTGGGATAGTAGTCAATATATAATTAAGTTACGTGGTGGCATTCTATTAGTTAGGTTGGTGGCCATAAGCATAGCTTCATTCCAAAATCATTGAGGTGTGTAGGTGAAGATCATAAGTGGCCCGACTATGGCAATGAGGTGTCTACCAATCCTGTTTTGTTGAATTGTGTCACTAAAAGAACTTTGTGCACAATCCCCTTCTCTCTTAGGTAGCAGATAACTTGTTATTAAAATGTCTCTACCATTGTGTGAAGGTTTTGTATGCTCGTGTTGTACGTTTCTTCAAATGTCAAAAAATATATATTTTTATAGCATTTAAATTTTACATATGAAAATTGTGATAAGGTTTACTTCACCGGTTGAAATTTGCAGTGAGAATGATTATATTGTTTTGAACGGACTTTAATATTAATTTTAAGTAGTATAAGTTGCAATTAAATGATAAATTATTTTGTTCTACATGCATTTTAAGACTAAATTTCCATCTGTGGTTTACTGTGAGGCCCCCTGTTGTTAATATGTATGTTAGGAAGGGTAAAGAGGTAAATTCCTAGTTCCTAGTTATTGGGTATATTTTGTATGGGTTTCAGTACTTATACTTTTGGGGCAAGTTAGGCAGGGTATCTTTTGTGTATTGTGTGGAAGGTTTGTGTTAGTGAAGGAGAGGTCAAACCCTCTCGATAGGTTGGGCACCCTGTAATCTCGTGGAACTATAGTTCTCACTTTTGAATATCAGTCTTGTAAGGAAATGCCTTACATTTACTTTTGTCAATCTGGCATCACAATGTAGGAGCAAGCAAATATCATTCCAAAGGAAATACACTCTATTGACCTCAACCCAGCTTGTCCTTATCAGTTGGCCTTCCATCTTGATGACGGTTGGTATGTTGGGAAAAGAAACTTTCATATTCCCTCCCCAAGTATTGAATTTATCCATTGTGAACCATTTTTCACGTGATGTTGATAGGAAAATTAGTCAATTGGATCGGCATTTCATTTACACTGTTGTGTGCTTAAGTATCATTCTTATTTCGAGCTCATGGATGCGGTCAATAGTTTATTTTAGCTGAAGCATGGTTAAAAGATATCCCTTTTCTAACCATAAAAACACTATCATGGCTTCCAGCTACCATCTTCAGTTACTAGGAAGCATTATTGACCTGCCCTCTCCATTCACACGATCGGATAATATTTCAACTCTATTAGCAGTAGGAATTTCTCGGCCATGCTTTCTCTACTTAATCAAATGGTTATGCATCTGTCACTGTTATTATTGATTTTCAAGAGCATGAATCATCACAAGTAATAAAATAATGAATAAAGTCATCCCACTGAGATTTCAGTTTATTAATAATTACCATACAAATCAAATCATGATCTGTTTGATTTATCTGTTTTATGGCAATAAAAAAGAGAACAATTTAGAAAGGAAGGAAAATCTCTGAAGAAAAGCCTAGGATTTACGAAGACTATCCTTTACGGTTGTCAACAAATTCATTTAATTGATTTTTTAGCCATCTTTCATCCTTAGAGTAGATCTCTGATCATTCAATAGTGGCCAGTTGTTCACAAGCATTGAGAACAAAAAGAATAACTGAACCGTACAGGAATAATCTTCAATTAATTAAAGAGAAATACGGAGGATTTCATAGCTTATGCTTCTCAGCTTAAAAGAGAAATCTAGAGAATAATTTAATCAAAATCTATTAACCATAGTATTGAACACCAAAAGATAGGGAAATAAAAGAGAGGAGATAACTTTGATAAGTTCTGGAGTTATCTAATGTTTGGTGTCTGTTTGGTGTCACCTCCTCTCTAATCTCACAAAACTTAATATAAAATGTTGTGTGATGAGGGCTTGCAATGCATTTGGTCTGGTGCCTAAGCGCTAAGTGATATAGCACGTAGGCACTGCATTAAAATAATGAATAAAATCTTTGCTCTCTAATGGCACAAAAACCCTAGGTTAGGGGCAGGAGTGCCTTGACTAATTAGTCAAGCTTAATGAAAAAAAAAACTTTTCATGTCTGGTCAATCGGTCTAGGTCTCGGTTGGCACTGAACTTTCCTTCCCCCAACGGGCAACAACACTGGGAGGAAGACGATTAGGATCTGTTCTTTTTGTTTGGAGCATAACATTTTAGGTGCTCTTAACTCTAGGCTCAAGTTTAATGGCTTAGAATCCTTCTCTTGAGCTTGATATTTCTATATTTTAGTGTTCAAACTACTTGAGTCACCATTTAACTATTTTCCTAGCTAAATTTAGAATAGTATGTATCTATTTGAGGAGTATACAACTCATCTACATTCCCACTAATTGTCAAACTTGCACACCTACCCCAACCGCCCAACATTTCAGACTACTATTGCAGAAATCTCCCTCTCATATGTATGGTATGTTTGTATGTTGGGCTCGGTGCTACCTAGATTGGCAAATGGATTTTGTGAAAATTAGTTGAGGACTTCGCCCTTTCTTCGGAATTATATTTTTATTAGTAATCTATTAAAACCTATAAAAGTACCCACAAACTTTAACTTTTAGGTTATAATTTTTAATCATTTAATATATTCTCAGCACTTTCTCTTACATGTGAACTCAGATAATAATTTCGACTCACATCTACCACGTGATTAATAAGAGTTTGAAGGAAATAACATTACAAACATTTGAACTCTAGATCTTTAACTGCTTTGATACTCTGTGAAATATGTCTACACGCATAAGATTAAACTATTAGTTTAGGATAAACTTTTCCATTTAATATGTTCTCAAAAGACTGTCCAGGATTATAATTTTCCTATGATTCTACAATGTAGGTCAGGTATTTTGGATGTATATAATTTTCAGGTCACACACATTCATTGCCCACCACCAGCTTGGTTGTAAGTAAACTTAAACTTACGTAAAATTGAAGATATTCATTATGTGAGGAATCAGATACTTTTCTAAATCATTCTTTTTGTTCGGTAAGAGCAGAAATGATTCCAACATGTCCTCAGATCAATTGTTTTTGAGGAAACCATCATGGCTGCCTACAGATTCTGTAAGTTTCCTTAACCTGTGCTTCTATTTTGTTTCATCACTTTTTGACACAGTAGCAACCCAGTGTTATATAGGAATATTTGCACGACCAGAATTGTTCTGTCAAAATCTTCAATCATACAGCACAACAACAATATGTGGTGGTCAGTTTTTCTGGGTAGCCTTTTCTTCTTCTGTTTGTTTTGTTAGCAACTTGAATAATTTTCATATACTCGTGTATTGGGTTTTATTGAAATTTGAAAATAGTCCTAATATTTTAGGTTGTAGATCAAGTAAAGAAATCTCTAAGCTGTGCAGTTAAAGTCAACTGCAAACTGTAGGAAATTTCTTGTGTGCAAGTTTTGATGCAGGAATTTCGTACATGCAAATTGCAATGCAGGAATTCTCATACACGTGATTTTTTACTTCGTACAAATTCTCTTTGTTGGGCTGTGTTTTTGTATACCCTTATGAATTTTTTCATCTTCCTCAATGAAAGTTCTATTTCTCATAAAAAAGTTTTATTATTGATTAAAGGTAAGTTAAAAGCACATCAACATCACATAAGCCCTATTCTGTATAATTAATAACTTTTGTCACAATTAGCAAGAAGATAGTGAATGATTGAGACTATTGTGGATGCCAAAATATGAAATAATAAAGAGGAAATTAACATTGCACTTCTGTAAGTGCTTTAGTGTCCAACTTACATCAATGCGGTCATGCCCATAGGTTAAAGTTAAACAAAATAGAAGTACTTGCTATTTTCAATGTTGCTATATGATGTAACTTCCTCTTCTTGGATATCTCTTATATCAGTCTCTCGTGTTCTTTTATAGCAACATGTTTGAAGCCCCTTCTCTGTATTGGCATAGTCTCCTCCGAAAGAGCATTCCCTTCCTCTTGCTCCAAGAGAGGGTAGAGCATAAGAGGAAGGAAAAAAAAAATTTCTTTAAGCCCAAGATTACTGCAAACTATTCCTCTTTACAAGTTAACCCACATGAGGCAGGGAGGAGAGGAAATTAATAATCGAACCAAAGGACTAACTAAGCCTATTTCTAAATAGGGATAAGCACCAAAAGGAAAGAACAATTTGGGAAAAGCAACGGAAGAGAAGGGCTGCAAGCTTTAGCAGTGGGCTATTATATTAGAGGCTGTGTTAGAAATAATAGTAGTAATATAATATAAAAGGAAGACCAAGGAAAATGAAGGATCTTTGCACAGGTCCTATACAAACAAAAATGACTGTGTAAGCAACTGAAAGCTATTAGTCCCACATAATCTGTTAATTTCTGGTTCATGGGGAAGATGAAAGATTTTTTCAGTTTAGTAAATGTTAAGCTTGGAAGTTACATAGTACAGTAACGTACTTTGATTATGTGTACCTGTAGCATGTGCAGCTGGTCTTAATTTCATTTCAGTTCGAGTTTCTTACAACTTTTTAGCTTTGCAATGATGTACTATTGCGCAGATTTTTGCAGTCGGATCTTCTTCTGATGAAGGTATTCATCTTTTGGATTTTCATCCTGACTCCCGCTCTCCCAGCCATGTGGACTACAAGTAAGAAATTTAATGTGCAAAGTTTTAGGTAGCCGTAGGTTCTGTAAGAACACAATATGAGATATGCAGTTATAGATACTAATAGTTGGGAAGAAAAAAACAATGATATGGCAACACAAGTAAATTGAGCCTCCAATAGTCTATGATTTTGAATTTGTTAAAGAGTAATATTTTATGGAGAAGAGATTGATATTCTTATCTGCTGTCTATTGTATCTTTTCGTGCTCCAGTGATGATTTAATTAGTGCTGGAGGAGAAAACAAAAAACGACAAAACAGATTTGTTAAATTGTCTGAAGGAGTTACTTCTTGTGCTGCTCACCCCCTCAATGGCACCATTATAGCCGGAACAAAGGTAGTATTTTGTGAAGAACTTTAATGTGTTGTGTGTTTATAAATCTTTCATGATTTGATCGCATGAACATTTCTCCAAGCATAATACTTGTTAGTAACAATAACATATAGCACATACTTATTTTAGTGTAATGTATGAAAAATTTTGTGGTTTGTAAGTACATCCTGGAGATTATGGTGGAGTCTTTCTCAATGATATTCGCACAGTTCCCGTAATTATATTCTCTGAAAACTGTGCCTGCCCCAATCTTAAAACTGATCCTATAGAGTTAAATCAAGTTTCACTTAATTTCTTTGGTTGGGAAAATAAGTCTTGCTGACCCATATTATGTTAGGACACTCTTCATTCTCTGTGAGAGTACTTTGGAAAATAGTGGGGGTATTATGGTAATTAGGTAGGAATAAGTTGGATATAAATAGAGGTAGTAGGAAGAGAAGGGGGCATCTTTTGGGAAATAGTTTAAGGTGAAGAACTTAGCACAGTTCTTGGGAGATATATAGCCCTCTTGAAAGTCTATTAATATTGTAGCGTAATTTGATATTGTAATATAGTTTATCTTGTTACTTTCCCGTGATCGGGAACCTAACATTCTCATTTTCTTAATTTCTGTTGTGCCTACTATTTATTGCATAATACCTTCTCTTCTCAATCCTCCTTTTTTCTTTTTACTTCCATTTACGGTTCACTAGAATGGCAATTCATATTTCCTCGTTTAGTGACCCAATTAATACCATCTCATATGATGTAGCCTTAAAACAATCGAAACTAGTGATATTGCTATATGTTTTTCTTTTTGAAATATTGTTCACTATTTATTAGCTGCCTGCTCACCTTTTGTTTAATGAAATCCTAACTTTTGGGGGAGGTGGGTTTCAGAATTCATCTTTGATCATGATTTCCCAGAAGAAGCAATCAATTTAGAAGCAGAGATTGATTAAACAAATTCCCAGCTCCTATTTGAACCCAAAATGTGAGCTATTGAGTTTGGCGGAGAATACAAATATTTGGAACTCCAAGGGCAATTGAAAAATGCCTTCAGAACTCGGGTGAGTCCCCTTCCAGAATCCATGTAAATAGATTTTATTTACACTTTATCATGACAAATTATTCTGTTTTAGCTTATTGTTTATTGTTTTTTCTTTTCTCTTATATTTTGTCGATTGCGATACTATAGAAATTTAGTATCCTACTGCATATCAACATTTATGGAGTTCCATCTCAAAACCAATTGACAATTTTGATCGGATCCTATTTTTGGACCAAATGTTCGTCGATGAGAGGATTAGCCCAGGTGTATTATAAACTTATGTAAGGTCTCTTCTTTTATCAATATGGGATCCTTAACCGTACCTATTTTTTTTTTCAATTAAGATTTACCATAGTAAGGCGAGTATCAAATCAGTTGATAACAACTACTTATCTACTGAGTTATACTTTAATTAGTACATACATACTATGCTGGAAAAGGGCTAATATGAAACTAATTCGAAAATGTTAAGTTGTGAATTAGGAAGGTGTATCTTGATCGAGTTGAGAGAGGGATATAAACATTATATTGAGTACTAAATTGAGTAATGGGATACAAGAACTTTATCATATTTTAGACAAATTTATCTAATATTAACTCTTGGATTAGGATCAATATTTGCAAGACTCCTGCACTTGCGGTTTTTTCTTTTTCAATGAAAATTTGAACTCACAACTTAGTTCAAACTTTTGACTTGAGGTATATGTCTTAACCAATTGAACTATTATTAAGTTAACCATCTTGACAAGTTAAACTTAAATAAATTAGGTTCACTATACATGATTTATCGTTTGATTGATTCATGGCTTTTTTCTTTTTAGCATGTTTAAGGATGATGAACCTACAATCTTTTGGTTGAAAGTATATGTTTTAACTAATTATTTTTTAGTACAACAAACAAGAGATGAGAGATTAACCTCTGATCTTAAAATACTACTAAATGCCTTGACCAATTTGAGCGCAGCATGATTCACATGGTTTTGGCAAAAAAAATGTGGTGGTGTGAATTTTCTACCACATGATTTATCAATGTTTATTCACAAATCATATTTAAGAAGCACAATTATGGACAAGGTAAAAATTATTATTGATTTCTCACATTTAATTTGTGCTAAAAAATAATAGAAATAACTCAGATCTGTAGGCAATTCCTAGAAAGATATCTTGTCCATTAAAAATCTAATAACTCAAAAAAACCCACTCAACGCAACCTAATCAAACAGTAAACATACATTCATAATTTGATTCTACTTTAAATGAATTATTCGAAACTTTATATGTTTAGTTACAATTCTATTGAAAGTTGTTAAATAAACAATCAGTTTGATCTATTTAACCTGATCTTCTAAAAACATCTCAGCCTTAAATAATATATGTTTGGCTCCAAACAAAAATAAAAACGTAGAGAATTTCTTAAGATTTTGATTAGACTAAAATGAGGCAAATTTGCAAATGTAACCTAAAAAAGTTTTCAATTTGGACAAAACATTTTTAACCCACTTAAAGCATTTAAGAAATGTCAAGTTAGATAAAAAGATTATTATGCTACTTTTAATTTTCTTTTTTATTTTACCAAATCGAACAAGTGGTCAAGGCATCTATCTTTGACCAAAAGGTCATGAGTTCGAACTCCTACCCCACAAGTTGTACTAAAAGATAATAATTCTCCTTTTTATTTTGTTTCTCTTCTACTTCTTCTACCCTCGCTTTTTATTTCCACTTTTTTTCAATTTCAAAAATTGAAGAGATTCATTGCTGGAAAAAAAAACGAAAGGCAACAATATTTTGACGAGCCAAACAACCAATAGAGGATTGAGATCAATTAGTTTTAATCTCAAATGATTTTTTTTTCTTCTTTATTTGGGTTAGATGGAATTAAAATTGGCATGAATGTGGCCGAGAATGCATAAATCTCAACCCCTTATTTTTTAAAATTGGGTTCGTTGAATCTAGATGACTATAAATCTTTTTTTATTTTTTTTAGTACAACATGTAGGGGTGGGGTATCGAATTCACAATCTCATGGTTGGAGGTATATGTCAATTACCATTGAGCTATGCTCGCTTTGGCTAAATGAGTATAGATCTTGAGCATGGATTCATTCAAAGAAAATTGCATTGCCTGAGTTACCATTGGTTCAAGGACAGTTTCCATAACTAGGGGATGACTTCCAAGTGAAATAAAATTTGTAATACATGTTACGTGGGAATTTTTAAAGTGAAATCTTTCTCGAAGTGTTGGCTTAGAATGCATCCTACCATCCTTAAGAGCTTGGTTCTGATTCTCTTCTAGATATAAATCTCAGGCCCGTTTACTTATCCGCAGTCGTAATGGAAATAAATCGGAATCAGAATGTTATTCTTTTGATGTTGTTTACCAGAAATTTTTTGAAATCGTAATCAGAATTCATTTATGTTGTTTACTAAAACTGTAATTGGAATCGAATATATAACAATTACTAGTAGGGAAATTGTATTGGGTAGCTAAACTTTTATACATATTTACAAAAATATCAACCACTTTTGTATTTTGCAAATATGGCAAAATATTTAAATTTTTATTTTCGGAATTTTTATTATTCCAGTTTTACCCTTATGATATCTAATATACACCCGATGTATATCTGATATAAGCCTAATGGGTGTATATCTGATATACACTCGATGGATGTATATCTGATATCGTCCGATATATCTTTGATATACTTCCAATCTACATCTGATGTAGATCAAGTATATATCAGTGCTATATCAATGGTATATCAATGCTACAAGGGTAAAATTGTTATTTTATTATTGGACCTCCGTTTTTTCTAAAAATTTTGCTATATTTGCAAATCTAAAATGTAGATGTTAAATTCTTTATTTCCTTAAATTTTTTTGCCATATTTATAACTGTCCCTTACTAATATCACTTTCTTCATTTTTTAGCTAATTACAAATATTGTGCTAATCGTTTTTAGTTACGATAATAATAAATTTAAATTTAACTTATTACTATATTATTGATGGTAAAAATTTGTTATTATAACAATTTATTTAATTATTATTAAATAATTAAAATAAAATTAGATCTAATAAAATACTTTTTTATTAGAGCAACCCTAATTTAATATAACATATTATTAAATTTTATTATTCTAATATTAAAAAAATAATTTCTATTTTAAAAATATATTATATTAATTAATATAAATTTATAATATTATATAATAAAATCACATCAACCAATAAAAATTGGAGTATAAATGAAGAAGAAATTATAAAAATATAAAAAAAACTAATTAAAATAGATGAGAGAAAAATGGTAAAAAATGTAAAGTAATTATAATAAATACGTTGAACCCACAAAATAAGGAATGAAAATAGGATTAATGAGTTATAAGAGTAATTGTATTATACTTAGATTACAAAATTTGAGATAGATCCACCATTTAATTTTCATTCCTAGAATTTGCGGGAAAGTAAATGGAGTCTCAATTTTGTGCTAGTTTTTCATTTAAATATTCATTTTTAAATAAAGAAAAAAATTCCAAAAAACATCTACTCCGAATCCGAATCAAACTTGGGAGAAGACACATATTCAAAGCACCAGGGTGAATATTATTACAAATTATATCACAATATATAAAAAAAGTTAACCTTGCTCGTAATGAGGACGATCATAAATCAAGTGTCAATTACCACTTAACTAGTAAATATTAACTTTATACTCACTGCTCTTAAATGTAAGAGAATGTAAAATTATAAAATAATGAATTATCAAATTTTCAATCACTCTAAAAGACATGCTAAGTAACCAAAGGATTTTCCCTTTTAAACCCTAAGAAACTCTGCTCACTGATTTCAATCTAGAGTTCTTCTAAATTGTTTTTTTAACCTATTTTATTATTTGACCCACAAAAAGTTTTAGTTTGTTCAAATAATCTATCCCTTAAAAATTATTTTTTCTAATCCATTTTATTATTTTAATTAGTTAAAAAGAATTGAAATTACATTTATACCCTTATGATAAATTAAGAGATGTGGAAGTACAAAACATTCTTTGTTTTGTTTCTATTTCTTCCCATTTTTCTTTTTACTTTCTTTCAAATTTCTTGAGTTATTTATAACAATGAATCATTCTTTAAAATAGAAATTGTATGGTTAAGTTGAAATTAAAATATAAATAAATCTCGAATCTCAATCCATATTGCATAAATTTGGATCCCTTGATTTTCTTTTTTTTTTTTTTATTTGGGGTTGTTGAAATTAAATGGCCGCAAATATCAGCCTTTAATCTCACCTCATAAATCTCCCTCAAAATTCATAAATCTCACTATACTTATAAAAATACTACACTGCTGGATGGCTTCGTAAGCATCTCACTATTAATACTTAAATCTTGGGGTTGAATCTCACTGAAATTGCATAATCTCAGTTATGGAATTTATGCAATCTTGGCTCTCGATTTTATTATTATTTTTAATATAAGTTCACTGAAATTAAATGGGCATAAATATTGGGCTTGAATTTCGATAAAATTGCATTCGATTGGGATTCATATAATCTTGGCCCTCAATTTTATTATTATTTTTTAATTTGGTTTTGTTGAAATTAAATGGACATAAATCTCAACTAGAATTCATGCCATCTCAAATCACTAATTTTGTTTAGGGATATATATATATATAGATAGATATATTAGAAACGAGTGCCAAAAATAGATGCCAAAACTCTATTACGGGATGAAAACTCAAACAAATTTTACCCAAAAAATAAATTAGGCAAAAATAGAAGTCAAAACTCATAAATTTTTCCCGAGAATCAACCTCTGCCTCATTTATCGGGCATAAATTCACCCAGAAAATAAAGTAGAGGCTTAAACTCAGGCAAAGGCTCTGTCTTATTTTTCGAGCAAGATCTCGTCCGGGAAAGCCAAAACTCGAGCAAGTTCACAAAGAACCCTCCCGAGTTATGAAATTCGCGGAAAAACATCAGCAAGTTTCCTAGACAAAGATTTAAATATATATGTATTATATACGTTTTGACTCGTTGGTCATGAGCGGAAATTACATCTCCTTGTGTTGAGGTTCAAATGCTACCACAAACGTTTTATCCTCATTTTTATTAAAGAAAAAGAGCAATAAACTGCATTACACAATATTCAAACCCTTGCACACGCGGTAAGAAACAAAAAGGGGTTGCGGCTAAGTCCATCCAGTCAGATACTAATTTGCTATAAGTTAAGACAATCAAAATTATACATTCAATTTCAAACTTGTTTGAGATAATGCAAAATGTAAAAACTGGAGCAATACAATATATTTGCTTCTCCTTATTTTGGATTAGAAAAAATAATTTTTGAAAGGTAGATTATAACTTTGGCGAGTCCATTTTCAAAAAACATTACTCAAACCAACTATATAATTAACATCTACAATCCTGGGGATGAAAATCGTTCAACCCAACCTCAGATTCAGCCCTAATTCCTGAAAGAACAAGATCCCTAATTCTACTCAGCTATATGAATTACAGATTCTGCAATTCTAATTTATAGATCAGAAACGCAAACGTGAAACAGAATCTATCTTTCTACTTCATCAACAATTACACAGAGAATCATAGCTCTAAGCTCTTTCGCCTCTAATTCTTCTAGCGAGCTGGATATCCTTGGGCATAATCGTAACTCTCTTAGCGTGAATGGCGCAGAGATTGGTGTCCTCGAATAGGCCTACCAGGTACGCCTCGGCGGCCTCCTGAAGCGCCGACACGGCGCTGCTCTGGAACCGGAGATCGGTCTTGAAATCCTGAGCGATCTCCCTCACCAGCCGCTGAAACGGAAGCTTCCGGATCAGAAGCTCCGTGCTCTTCTGGTACTTCCTGATCTCCCTCAGCGCCACCGTCCCCGGCCGGAATCGGTGCGGCTTCTTCACTCCTCCCGTCGCCGGAGCGGACTTCCTCGCCGCCTTCGTCGCCAGCTGCTTCCTCGGCGCCTTTCCTCCCGTCGATTTCCTCGCCGTTTGCTTCGTTCTCGCCATCTGATGAAGATTTCAGCACTTAACGGAGAGATTCGGATCGGAATTCTCAGAGAAAAAATCGAGAGATTTCGATCTTGTCGATGATTGATGATGGGAAGCGCGATTTTGGTTGTATTTATAGGAGAGATTTCGAAGGGGCGGGAAAGTTTTGAGCCAGAGTTTTCGTTCCGGATCAATCTGGACCGTTTATTTTGGAAGCGTATCGACGGCTGTTAGTTTGTTTCACGCGGATCGTGATCCGTGGCAGCTCGAGGGGATCACTAAAGTCTGTGCCACGTGCCGCGTCCGGTCTGATTTATATATTTTTTAAATTATTATAATTTTATAATGCAAAATTTGGAGTTATTTCCTTTTTAGTTCAACAAATATAGAGGCACACACAAAAGTGGAAAATAGAACTCTGAATTATAAGGAAGTTAATTATCTACTGAATTTTGTTTGGATTGCCGATTCTTATTTTATACTTAAATACTTAGAACTTTTTGATATTTAGTATTTGTTCTACACACAATTGAAAATATCAATATTATATATTATCTCTTCAATCAATTTTTTTTTAGTAGACTTGCTAGCATCCAACACTACCATTTTTTTTTTCTATTTAGTTTCAAGATTTTAAAGCTCAGGTTGAAGGGTATTTGGGGTTTCAAATTAATGTGTTCCAAACTATACCATCATGCAAAATATTTTCTAAAAAAATATACAAAATTATATTTTCCGAAGGGAGTTTGGGATAGATTGTTAGCAAGTCACAAGGATGTTTCATCCTTATTTTCGAGATAAAGGCAACTCTTCGCTCTCTTTACATTCTTATGGAACATAAACTATTTGGGTTTATGAATGTGTTAACAATTCTGGAGAGAATTCTCGAGAGGAAATTTTAAAATTGGATAAGTTTCGACACCTCCCTTTAGAATTTGCAATCCTTCATCTCTCATTTTGATCAACTAGAGCCTTTCTGTAATTAGCCAACATTTTGTACTTTGACTGCTATGGTTTTTTCTTCTCTTTTATATTCCTTCTATGCATTCTTCATTTTTCTAAATAAAAATGGACATTTTTAGTATTGTTGTGCATATTAAAGTTCAATCAACTAAAGTCAAGTAACCCAATTAAAAAAAAAAAAAAGAAAGAAAGAAAGAAACAATTATCCTAAAGTCAGAGAACTATTTCTAAAACACTTTTAAGCTGATTTCTTCTCCTTGAATACACCCATACCTACCAACAAACATAATAAAAATAAAATATCGTGTAAGACAGAATCCCCACTTATAAATCACAAGAAAGCAAATGTCACATCAAATACTTAAAAAAAACTGTCACATTAAACTTAAAAATAAGGTTCAAATAGGGTTGAGTACCAACTTTTATTTTGATCCTTAAACTAACAAGTGACCAATTTAATCTATATTTAAAAATTTTAACATAATTTCATACGAAATGAAAATCAATTAATACACATTTATTATTAGATTTCAAGAAATTCAATGAATGAAGTATCATGCTAAAATTAAAATTAAAACGAAAATAAAAATTCTAAAATAGTCCCTTCTTACAAGCACATAGACCAAATCGTTATTTTTCGAACGAGCATGGACTAAAATGAATAAATTTTGAAAGTAGAATTAAAAAAAAGGGTACCAACAAAACCATCATCAACAGTGACATCATAGTACACAATAATTGAGGCCAAAACAATAACCATTGTCTCAAGATCAACAATGGCTTTCAAAAGTGCATTAAATAGTACAATCATCTACATTGAGATTATGACAACTCAACTACTCAACTCTGTCAGAAATATGAAAGGTATATCATATCAGGCTAATGATATAGGCTTCTCAATGTTTCTATATCATCAAGACAAAAAAATGAGACGTAAAAAAATGGCATTAATATCAGGAAGTGGTTGAATTTTCACAATTGTTCCACCAAAAGCTAACAGAAAAGCTAGTCGTTAAGGATCGAACATAGTGCCACCATTTTGGTGGGATATATAGCATCTCACCCTCCTCTAGAATGCAGTCCACAAATTCCAAGTCCACCGCCTTCGGAAACTCCTTCCCGTCTATGCTATCTAGATCAACCTTCAACGGCAGATTTATGCATGAAAAGATAAGTAAGCACGAAACGATACAGTCGTGGTAAAGAGTGAATACCTCTCAACAAAACAAATCTAAGAAACAATTAATTAATGAAGACAATACGCATCTCCTAGTTATGCTCCAAAATTTATAAACCATAAGCATGTCAGGGAACTTGTAGAATTGAACTCGATCCATATCCAACCCATGGTGATTCAATTCCTTCTTTTGACCATTGTAATGTAGTTGAGATTTATGAGAATGGTTACCTGGCTGGAATTGCAAAGCATAGTTTCAGTGTATGGGTAAAGTTCTTCAGACAATGATGCATCATAAAGCCTAATGTACTTTTTGCCTAAAACCTGTACACGAGAAAATAGAGTATAGCTTTATAAGTATCAAAAACGACAAAAAGTATTCATCTAACAGCAATTTCTTGGTTATAAGAACTTGCAGAATATTCCTTTTCTTTTCTCCACACATGCACAACATCAGTATCCAACCCTCTTTCAGATAAACTAACATGATTATGTAAATGTATCCAGTAAGATTTTACGCTTCCCTTTAGATTTCTGCATCTAAGAAATTTTGTTGAAATCAGAGGATGCTCACACAACAGAGGATGCTCTTAATCTCTGTTTTCAGTATCGATCCAGTCTGTCAGCAATTTCCAAGGTAAAAGATTCATCTAAGAAAAAATTTGCAGTTTTACTACTCAGTGAATCAATGATCTTATAACCTGGATGCTTACATGGCATGATCAGTTTCTATGTTCAGCTTTAAGAAGTGCTTATTTAATCCTCGAAGCACAAAAATGACTCCATCCCATAATTCAAAATGTAGGGTTGAAAGTCTCAACATAGAATAAATGCATCGAGGAAATGTGGGAAAATCAAAATGAGAAATAAACTCAAAGGGATACAACACTTTCCAGTTTAATCGGTTAAAGAATTTATCTGTAAGTACAAACCTGAGCTAATATGTTGTGATGGGGATCATGGTGTAAAGGTGTTACTGTCCCGGCCGGGCCAAACCAAGCATTAAGAGATCTTAACTCTCCACCACCGACAAAACAGTAATCGGGAATACAAATGTCATTCCGGAGCTCATTTATCTGTCTTTGAAGAAAGAAAGTCATTGAATAATATTTGCAGAAACAAGTCAATTCTTCAGAGCATCGTATGCATATCCATACACAATAAATATATATATATATATATATATATATCATCAGGTTAATTCTCTGAAGAAATTAAAATGCTAAGCAGATAAAAGTTATGTATCAGTACATGCCTGGTCAAATAATGGATGTTGTGCAAGATATGTAATATCATCAGAACAGTCAGTGGACTGGATCCTGCCAAGAAATTCGGAAAACGTAATAAGCTCTTGTTTCCATTCTGGGCGTAAATAGTTCTTCCCAACCTGAAACGCATAAAAGCTTTACAAGTCTTCAGTTCAGGGATGGAAAATATACCAGTCAGCAGGAGTTAAACAACAATAGGAAGAGAAATTATAAAATGGATTAAAAAAAAACTAGACAGGAAATAAGCATCTCAAAAAGGCTACTTTTATATTTGTTATTCCAGTAACTTGCAGAATAATAGTAGAGAAAATTTCTAATAGCATTTGTGACACCAACAAAATCTCAAAATCCAAGACTGTCTTATCATATTGATAGTACACAAACGAACAGATAAATAAATCACCTCAACTGGGATTGTACGGTCACCGGCAACCTTTTGTAAGTAATCCATGCTCTTCCACTTTGTCCTAGCTGGCCAATGAGCCATACCATCACTAATAATAACTGGGAAACCTGGTTGGAAATGTTCACGCAAGAATCCCTCCAGAGACAAAGCAGACATCTTTGTGACCATCTTATTAGTGAGAGCCTTTCCTGGCAAATTCCAAGAAACCTATACATCAAAGGCATCACATTTTACTAATTAGAATAGCTTTTAGAATAGACTTCGAAACGAGCATCATATGATTATATCAACACCACGAAAACAAGAAGTTAGCATAATCATATGATAAAATGATGGAAGAGAAAAGCTTGTGAGGATATCTCATCTCCCACTTCTCTTGTACATTCCTCTTTTGATAATGAAAATTAAGTTTCTTATAAAAAAAAATGATGTTAAGAGAGAAATTTTTTGAAGTAGGTAGGGGCTTAAAGTCATGATATGTTATAAATCAGGAGTCCCTTGCAAGAAAATTGTTTTCTCAGATGGCCTCCAAGTCACCTCATAATTGTATTCACCTTCAAACATATACATATTCCAAGAGAAAGAAGCTTCAGGATAAAATCGTCCTCAACAACAGTCAAATCCATGGTGAATCCATGCTGCCTATGGAAATGAATGAAATCGAAAATCGGTGTTCAGTTGTGTCAACATTTCCCCGAATAATGAAATACAACTTGGAGAACAATATTCAGCGTTAATGAGCAAGTATGCTAATTAGTTGTCTGAATCTGAGGTAGCTCTGAACTTCCTTGTGTAACTCAACATTACTATGGATCTTGAGGTAGAATAAATGATAAAGCCATTCCAAAACGCCATAAGTAAACATTGAGGATTGAATTCAAAAGCAAAATAAGATATACAACGATGTTTAAAAACAAATCCATATTGTTTTTACTTCTGGAGGGTAAGACAAGTATATTTTTCTTGTAGACTCCAATCTTTGTTTTCTGATCTTTAGTGTGAGTTAATATTTTAAGCTTTAATTTTGTATAAAAAATTAAGTTGAATCTCATTCGTTTTCAATGAAATCTCCCATTTTTGTCAGAAAGAAATAGACAAAGAACTCCATCCCCTGGTCCTCATGCTTCACTCATACAAAGTTAAAAGTCCCAAGTTACCACAAATAATTACAGAAAAGGAACTTAAAAGCTCAAAACAGAGCACGAAAAAACAGCAAATGCATCACAGATGAATGAATGAAACTAACATTTTTCCCATTATAAGAATGATTTTAAAACAGAGAGTGCCACAGTGAAGACGACGAAAACATTTCAGCATCAGCAAAAATAATTTCTCCAAAAACATTGGAACCAGCAAGAATTCAGAACACAAAAAACGAACCTCACCTCCTTACTACGCTCGTCATAAAGCAATGGACGCTCGGACTGGTCATCACTCTGCGCCACATCTAAAACCCTAACGATCCTCGCCTCGGCAGAGACCTTCTCAATCGCGGAATCCAAATCCTTCCTGAGAAGCGCGCCGCCCATGATGAGCCCCATATCCAAAACCCTAAGGGCTTCCTTAAACTCACGGGCAGCGAAATGGAAGCTGGCCATGTAGAGGCAGGCCATGGAGTAAGCATCGCGCCAGATTGGGAGAACAGAGTGCCAGGGCCCGGAGTGGAGCTGCTCCCAGGCCATCTCGGCGGCGGCCTCGGCGGCGCATGAATCACCGGCGGCAGCGAGAGAGGCCATGGCGACGAAGGCGTAGCCGCCGTGCTCGGAGATTGAGTGGAGGAGGGACGGCGACTGGGCGTCGAGAAGTGGGGTTTCGAAGTGGAAAGAGGAAGGGGCTCCGTTGGGTTCGGATGAGGACATGGCCGCCGATCAAAGAGAGAAACAAGCTGCAGAATCTGAGAGTGAAGAAGAAGAAGAAGAAATTGAGCTGAATGATTTTGGAAGTGGTTAATATTTAGTAGTTAGAGAGAGCGAGAGAGACAGAGAGAGAAGATATTTTGATAGGTGGGGCAACGCAAATGTTCACTTTTTAAAAAAAAAAATTCATTTTTTTTGTCATGAGGTGAGTAAATATCTCCCAATAAGCATAGGTTTTTTTTCTTCCTTTCCTTTTTTTTTCCCTTTTCTTGGATGAGAATTTTAAGGTTGTAAGTTTGGATTCGAATCTGCTTCCAAACATAAATCTGAAAATAAAGAATACAACTCTAATTTTCTTTTTTTCAAATGTTGTTTGGTAGAAATTTTTTGGAGTAAAAACAAAAATTATTCATGTTATTTTCTAAGAATTGAAATTTGAATTCAAGACCTTTTACTTAAAAGTCTTCAGGTTGACTGTTGACGTTGTTTATTAAAATTGGAACCGGGAGAAGAAATACAACCATTTGTAGAATACCCTTTACCCATTTTCTAATTAATTACAAGTTAATGTTAATGTGTGCTAGTATTATTAATAAACTTTTTTTTTTGCCTTTTTTTTCTTCTTTGGGCTAAATAGAAAATAATGGTTGATTTCAATTTTGTTAAAATTCTCTTCTATCTATTGAGATGCTAATAGAGTGAAATGGAATCAAAATAGTCTTTTAATCTCGTTTCTCACCCATTTTGAAGCTATAGTCGAGATTTAAATTATTACGTGTCATTTTTTTTAAGTTTAAGTTATGTTTTAATCATTGAACTTTTAAGATCATTCCATTTTTCATTCATAAACTTTCCTTAAGTCTATTTTAGTTCATAAATTAAGAAAATATAACTATTTTCAGTTCTTTATCGTTGTTTTATCTTAATACTATGATAATAGCATGATGACATAGACGTATATTTGAGTCACAAAAGTGGGTTGAGCATGAATACTGTGTGGAAAGATATTAGGTAAAAAAAATAGTAGCAATGACCATAATAGTTATTCTTATAAATATTAAGAATTAAAATCAGACAATTTTCTTTTTTGATTATTTGAAATTAATATTTTAAAACTTAAAAAAAAAACAAAAACAAAAATTGAAAGTTAAAAGGGTATTTAAATCTTATTCTTAATTATTTGTAAATAAAAACCATTACATATTAATAAATTAATATGGGTTGTATCAGTTGAGTTCCTAATCTCTGTACTCAACAAACTTATGATAACTAATCTCTTTTTACATTAAATTTTAAGTTCTACAAATTACAAACCTTTTTCTATGGTCTAATTTTCATATAATCCAAAGTCCAAACGCATATATGTTATACAAGCTCAAACTTTTCAATTATTGATAGAACAAAAATACAATTTATTAAAACTTGAGCGGAACATCTTTTAGAATTCACATTTATTAGGTAAACAAAGTAATTGATATTACCAGATATATCATTCCAAATTCAAGTAGAATTAATAGAAATGAAAGTACAAATTAAAGTTTCAAGCGGTGAGTTAGATCTTCAATCACATTCTTCATGTACACTATATCATTGGGCTGTGAGACCACACTCGTTTCTTCGTCTATTGAAATTACTTCCTCGACAATCCAATTCATTTCGATCAGATTTGTTTGTTGTCGATTGAAGAGTCTGACCACATCAAATGAAATTGGGGTGGACTACTTCAATTAAGGACATTCAAAGCTTCATAATTTCTACGTATTTGATTTCTCTACGTTTCTTTTCAACAACCTGCCATGTCTCTGGTAGAATCTAGTCTAATCCACCAACGGCTCTCTTCATTTCATACTGTATCAGTGTTTAATTTTCAACAATCAATTAGTAGAGATGTCCATTGCACTGACAACGACAGACAATCTCTTAAATGTTGTATTAGTACAGATTCGACTCTTTTATAGTTCTTTGTATTACTACTACGTGATTTAGATTTGAGTCTCGATAGTGTGACGAAAGAGTAGTTCTCTCACGTTTAGAGAACCAAACTTTTTTATTTTGTCCCTCTAGAATGACTTGGTCTGAGTGGTAGGATTCTCCTTGTCAAGGAAAAAAATATTAAGAAGCTCAAAATATCAAGGAAAAAAAAAATACTTTCCCAAGTCACCACGTGGCATTTATCATGAATAAATACAAAACACGTAAGCAAATGTTGGGTGACTAGGAGAGCTCCACGTATAGAAGAAAGAGAGAAGACAAAATAATAATAATAATAAAAGAATAAATAAAAAAAAGTAAGTCATTTTTTGAGAGGTCAAAATCCAAATGCCAATTTCTCAAGTAACTATTTACCTAATTTAAAAAAAAAAATCTTAATACAACATGTGAGGATGGGGATCGAACTCACAATTTCTAGATTAAAGACATATACCGATTATCGTTGAACTATTCTCGCTTCAACCATAACCAAATAAAATTAAAATCAACCATTTCATAACATTTACAAATGGTCTTTAAGCTATTTTTTACCTATTCAAAAAATACACTCATTTTCTTGTTTCTTTTTACTTTATAAAGTGTAACTAAAAGTTCCACATTTAGTAAATAAGAGGAATATTCATCCTTTACAAGTTATGATGCAACTAATATTGTTAGTATTGAAGTTTTTTTTTGTGAAATTAAAAGTAAAACCACAACGATGAAACTCAAAGTGAGTAATATTATCATATTGTTATGAAAATATGAAAAGGTTTGTATACCTAACAAATACCTTAAAATGACGGTGAAAATTAAAAATAAAAACATCTAACATTTGAAGGAAAACTTCAATAATTATAAGAGGCACTTACAAACATGACAAAAAATTTTAGTAAAATAAGTAAAATAGCAACTACATTTAGTTTTTTCAAATATAGCATTTTTCTTCCGAAAAAACGGAGGTCCAATTATAAAATTACAAATTCATCCTTTAATATATCTGTAATATATTTAAACACTGATATATATATCTGATATAATAATGATATACAATTGATTTACTTCTGGTATAACCATGATATTTACTCAACTTCTAACATGTCTTACCACTCATATATGTATGATAACCATTGACCACGTTGATACAACACATATATATGTGATATATATATAATTTACCATTGATATACCATTGATATACAAATGATATATCACTGATATAACTATGATATCTACTGATATAATTTCTTATATGATTATATAACTTAACACTAATATAACACTGATATATATTTAATATATACTTAATATGCTTCTAACTTACCATGTATATACCTCTGATATAACCATTATATCTACTAATATAACTATGATACATGTGTATTGATATAATATTATTATATCCAATATTTCTTTCAGATGAAAATAATGGTGCAAAATTTTTTATTTTTATTTTTGAAATATAAAGTTAATATATAAAAGGTTTACGTGGACCATGCACATCCAAAAAGACAAGTCAAAATTTTGATATATTTTATAAATTTAAACCGTTGATATCTCTTATATTTAGTATCTAATTAATATTAATATTGAATAAATAGTAATGATATAGTAATCAACATTATTGATAATATTAGTATATTAATCAACAAATTAAATGGTAAACTAGAATTTAAACAGCTGATATAATACTAAAAGTTAAACATTTGATATACCTTATATTTAGTATATCAGTTGGAAATATATTTAGTATATCATAAATTAGAAATACATCAGATATATATATATATTATATGTATAATATGTACATTTGATGTATATCAGTGGTATATCTGATAATATATATCATGGGTACATCTGATACTATATATTAGGGGTACATTGAATGTATATCAGAAGTATATTAGAGTTAAACGGATGTACATTAGGTATACATTGGAGGTATATCATATACAAATTTACATCAGATTTATAAGAGATATAGATTTGATGTATGATATATATCAAATGTATATCAGATATAGATATACATCAGATATATATCAAATATCATAAAAGTAAAATTGGAATAATAAAAATTCCAAAAATAAAAATGCAAATATTTTGCTATATTTGAAATTTTGAAAAACTGGTGACATTTTTTGAAATACATCAAATATTTTTGCTACCCACTGCAATAACTCACTGCTTCAGAATTTTGACATTAATTTTGTTTGAAAAAAAAACAATGAAGCAATTGTACAATGCTTATTTGTTAATTTACACAATCAATTACCAATTTCATGTATTAAGATCCTGTTTACTTGCTCGCAATCGTAATCAAGGAATTGTAATCAAAATTTTCATTACGTTTGATTATGTTTACCAAAATAAATGAATGGAAATAAAACTCACCCACTCCAATTTAGGAATCACTCCCAAAAAATGCGAAATCCCATTAAGACAAAATAGCTGTGTAATCTCATTCCAATTTCTTAATTTGTGGGACCCACAATATATTTTCTGGTAATTTGACAACAAATACCCTTCTCTCTCTTAGACTCACGATTTTTTGCTCTCTTAAGGTTATTTTTTCAATTGCTCCACTGCTTTTCCTCTTCTCATTTACCTATTTGTAWTATAAAATTATTTAATTTTAGATTGAATGGGTAAAAGAAAGTTTATTACAATAAATAATGTAATGATACTATCAAATAAAGTTTAAAAAAATTTAGACTTAAATACAAAATATATAATTTATTACTATTAAGTAAAATAATATAAGTAGATCTAAAAATTATTATAAGTAATTTTTTTTTTCAATATAAAAAATCCCATAAAACCTTTTTTAATTAATATAATTTTATATTAGTTATAAATATATAAGGGTTGGTAATCAGCAAATGCCTGATTACGATTCCAGATGGAAGAAGTAAACACCATGAATTGGTTTCTGATTGCGATTCCAAATATGTTCAAGTAAACAACATCAATAAAATAACATTACCATTCCGATTGATTTTATTACGATTGATTTCTATTACGATTGAGAGTAAGTAAACGGGGCCTAAGTTAAAATTTTCGGTTTGACCCTTATACTTTGGTTAAACATTTACAGATGGTCCCTAAATTATTTTTTTACCTATT